TTAGAGGGTGGTGCTCGTAACTGGGAATTATCGATGAACATAGAGAGGATCCTTCATTACAGTTACATTTTCTGACAGTGCTAAAACTACTCTTGTTTTCTGCTTTTGTATTTTTTCAAATGTTTTATGGTTTTCCTATAGTTTAATTATCTGCCAGGTTTGATTTACTGTTTAAGATCCCACACCGTGTGACTTCTGTGTCCACAAACCACTGTGGAGTCCTCTGCAATGATGCCATTCTGTCTGACACCAGCACTGGGGATAAGGTTGAGACAGTTGTTTCTTTCTAACCAGCCCTCCTGATGGTGTCTTTGATGTTTTTTTTACCCTCAAACAAGAGGGGGAATTACTTACCCCTCTTTTATTCCCCGTTCTGAGTAGTATTCCCAAAAATACCTTCGTGTTTCTTCAAGGTGTGTCAGCGCTGGAAGTGCAGAGGACGTGTGAGCCAAGGGCAACTTGGCGTTCTGTAGGGCTGTAGATTTTAAGTGCCTAAAGTCAAAACTGGACTTGTAACTCCTTGTCTTATTAAACCAAATGAATTTTCAAAGTCTGCAAGTCTGCGTCTCAACAAAGTGAATACACTGAAGTTTAAGATGAACAAGTGTAGCTCAGAATGCAGGTATTTGACCCTTGTGACACAGGCATGGGATATTTTCTCAGTTACCAGGAGGGTGTCTGTGATGTCTGTCAGACCTTTGGTGTTCGTCCTAACTTTGACATTGTTACAGAAAACTGTAAATTGAATGTTTCACCATCCCCGAGAGGCTCAGACCTGCCGTGTGTGACCACGCCTTTGCTCAGCTCTCTGGATTTGTTGTTCAGCAAAGATGGGCGTGTGGAGCTCCACAGGAAGAGAGAAGCCCTGGAATGCATCTGGCCACTAACACAGCGTTTTATGCACAGGGCTTGTGGGATTGTTAGGAGCTGCTTCCCAAAGGTAAATAGAACCAGTGAGAACTGCTTGAAATCCGCTTTGAAAAATTGTTCATTCTTATGTAGGCACTGCCTCGTTATTTAACACCAGAGAATTGTGCTGTGGGAATTTACATTTACAGGATTGAACTCCTTGTCAGTAGATGGAGGAGCACTTGATGGAGACAAACTGTCAGTGCCTAGTAGAGATAACGTGTGAAAATAATCTCTTCCAGAATATCAGCAAGCTTTTGCAGGTTTGCCAGACCTAATCCAGCGTTTCCTCTGGAGTAAGGCAACAGCTGGAAATACAAAGCAAGTTCTGTCTGATCTTCAGCATTGAGAGACCTTTTGAAAATTATTCCTTCTTTTGCTTGGATGTTTGGAATCCTCAGATTGTAATTAGAATATTGTATTTATTATGTGTCTGATATGGGAAGAATCCTGATAAGCAAGATATCCACCCCTCACTATTCTAGCACCTAGAACATTGATTTCATGCAGAAGTTTTAAAATAACAGTTCAATGTAAACAACAGCTCAAACATAAATATTTGAAAGGCCCACAGTCAGTGTGCAGTTTTTTTCTTTGGTTTGGGTTTTTGCATTTTTTTTTTTTTTTTAAGTAATAATCTCAGAGTAACTCGATGGGAAAGAGATGGTGCAAGTTATGGGATAGCCTTGTGCAGAGAAAGGTGTCTGGTAAGAAGTGGAGAATGTTTGGAGGAGAGTTAATATGCAGTGAAATTCCAGAATTGGGAAGTGTTGCATAAAGCAAATGTGACTGGACATTTTTTTATGAAAGGGGAAAATCCATTTAGTATCAAGTCAGAGAATTTGTTTAATCGCACTTCCAGTGCCTGCAACTCCGATTTTCCTGTATTTAAAAATTTGGCACCATATGTTAAACTGCCTTACACGGTGCCATTGGTTTTCTGGACATGATGAATCTGCTCATTGATTTCCTAATTTTATTATGTACATGGTTAATTGTAATCTGAGATTACAGCAAACAAGATGGTAATTTCTGGACAACCTACGTGCGTTTCCCTCGGAGCGTGAGCGTCACAGAAGCAAAGAGTACAAAGAGAATACCATTTGTGCTATCCTCACAGGAGCTGTCAATAAAAGATGTAATAGGGGATTTAGGAATCTGGAAATGGCCAACTAATTTATGTGAATCTATTTTATTTCAGCTAGAAAGCCCCAGCTCTGTTTCGGCTGCACTGCATATTGCAGAGCACAGGCTGTCTATAGAAAACCAGGCGGCTGCATATGGATAGTCCCTTGATATCATTCACTTGCTGTGTAATCTTATTATGCAAAGTTCTAATCTTCACCTAGAATGAATGCCTCTGGGTCAGAATATAGTCATATCAGGGTTTTTGAGGTCATGTTTTGTGATCCTTAGCTTATTCTTCTAAGTAGAGCTGGGATTTAAAGAGTATTCCCCAGACACTAGCAGAGATAGACGGCAAAACCTGCTGCCTTTTTGGAAGACAAGACCAACATGAGGTCCCTGGTAGGATTAAACTTGATTTGTAGCTGTAGGCTTTTTTAACAGATGTATTATTGGACAGGGAATAGGGGGCCACCAGCACAGCGAAATTGGATCACGATTGGCATTCTCAGGGAGTCCGCTGGCTGCTAAAACAGCAGCTGCATGTGGATTTGACTTCTTTCAGGTGAAGCGACTTCCAGTCATTTGGAAAGGATGGGATGAAAAGGAACCTTGGTGATAATTTTGATGTCTGCAAGATTTAGTACCAATGTAATGGGATTATCGGTAACACCTTCACTGCAGAAAAAGCCACCTGGCGCTATAACTGGCAGCAACTGAGAACTAATCCTTTCCCATCTCTTGGATGTCATTCATGAGGCTCAAAGTGGTTTCTGCCCTGCTAGCTGTGATTAATTTTATAAACAAACAAACAAAAAAACCTCAAATGATGAAAGCATGGGCTATGCAAGGAAAAGGGAACAGAAGATAATAGTAATTGCATTTTGCATTTTATTTGCTGCGGGGGATAAACTATACTGTTCTAATAAAATAATCAAATTGTGTCCTCTGTGATAAATATGGATGTAATCTTTTTTAATCAATGCCTCTGTTCAGCATAAAACCAGTATCTATTCCAGTATAAATTTTTCAGCTACCTGCTATATGATAGTAGGTAGTACCTGGAAGTAATTACAGTAGGTTTTAGGCCACTAGTTCTGTGATAAGGATGTTTACCCAACTGATCCATTAAGTTTTCAAGGGGCCTGTGACTTAAATAATTTGTTTTATTGTGCTTAATGGTCTTATGCTCAGTCTGGTGGAGTTGCCTGCTGATGGCACTTTGTGTGAAAACTGTGATGTGGAAAAACGTTCAGCTGTTTTCCTTCTTGTGGTCTGCAGTATGATATTGTTTCAAAAATGGTCTGATACAAAGTTTGCAGAGGAAACAGTTATATTTTCATGATACTTAGGATAATTATTTTTGTATTTGTTTTTTTTTTAAATAAACTAGCTTGTTCTGGTGGGGTTTTTTTTTACTGGGCTTACTCTTGCTGCAACATTCACTTATTAACTACTTAAAACTCCAGGGAAGCTTTCAGGATTGTAGTTATTCTGTGGAATGATGTCTGAAGACAAACCTTAACATTAAAAACACCCTCCCATCCTCTGCAGTCACCTCGTTAGGGTCAGACTGTGTATAATTATGTATATATGTGCCTCAATTAGAAATTAACTTTCTTGAGTAGTGATCAAAAGCCTTTCATAAAAGCTGAGAATTTTTTCATTGAAATGAAATCTGATAAGGCTGAACTTTTAAAAAAACCTCTTTGTACCACATTTACAAACGGACAAAATTCCTTTTTACCTGTAATATCCACGGGTGCCTGAACTCTGTACAGTTTTAATATGTGAATATAAGGTTTCTGAGTAGCTTGGAGCAAAACCACAGGATGGCTGTGCAGTATTTCTGTGTCTGAACGGAGAAGCAGTGTGGGGCTGCCTCTCTAGCAGCTGCTGTTAGGAAGTATCGATGATGGACTTCTCTCAAAGCATAGCTGTGGTCATAAATTCACACTAGTTGTGCAATTCTGCTGATCTGCTGTCACTCCACCTTCCTTTTCTCACCTGTAACATGTTTCTAGTAAGAGTTATGCAAATAAAGCTGTGCCCTTTTAAATCCCTGCCTTTAATTAGTGAAACTTCACCAAATATAGAAGGGGATGTCTTTACTTCATTATTAAATGGAGCATATTGTACATACACAGCATTTTCCCCTTCTTTTTTCTTTCAAATATACTGTATTGACTCAGTAAAACAGGGAAATCTTGCAGTGGTTTTAGTTCATGGTAAGGCAATACTGAGTTTAAGGGGGGCATGTTTCTTGCAGAATGTAAAACTTGCTTCAGGATGTCTGTTTTCCACTTCCTTGAGATACTTATTTATATAAGTGTCCTAAAAGTGGGGTAAGGAAACATTTGAATTAAATTAGCATTGCAGGAACTGGATCTTGTAATCAGAGTTGGACTTGAATATTTGGGGAGGGGGTGGTCAGAAGATTTTTGCAGTCTAATGTGCTGCAGAACTTGTGCCAAGGTACCATGGCTAAGAACAAAAATACCAGATGCCTCATATTTATGTGCAAGTGTTTTGGTAATGCAGTCAAAGGAAAGCTCTGCTTCGCCTCCAGACCACCAGAACTATCAGATATCCTAACTTTTTCTAGGATAGCCTTACTCAGGCGAGCCACTCAGGACTCCCATTTTCCTTACTTTGTCCAGTTCTTCAAGCTTTTTTTTTTACTGGATTGATTTTTCAGGTTGGTTTTGTTGACTGTTTGATTACTCCAGTTTTCTGTGAATGTCGTTTCAGTCGCTCGAGTCGCTTCAGGTGGTTTGGTGCTTTAAGAAAAACAGCAATCTAACTTTCACTGTCTTCACATGATTAAAACGAACTCCATCAGGTGTTATTTAACAAATAACTGCATCTGAGTCACAGTATACTCAGCTGAACGTGACAGGCTGGTGAGAGGGGTCTGTTGGCTCGTTCCCAGGTGACTGACTGACGCTGCTCTGGTCCCCCCGCAGGCCAGGGCCCGCTGACCGACGGGACGCTGGAGGATGCTCCGCGATGCCTTAGGGAGAACCTGCCGCTTCCTGGGCTACACGGTGCAGTATGGCTGCATAGCACACTGTGCCTTCGAGTACCTCGGAGGGATTGTCGTGGTAACGTTTCATTTTCCTGACGTTTCGAAGAAAATGAAGCTGTTGAGACTGGAATTGTTTTATGTGAGCGTGTCGGTATTTTCACGTTTCTCGGTTCTCTTCGAAGCAGTTTCAGGGCGTGATTAGTAAATGCCTGGGTTTTTTTTTGGGGGGGTGGAGAGGGCAGGTCCAGCCCTCATGAAAGTTATTTCTACTTTAGGCATTCATATTTCTTGATGCCTTATTGCTTGAGCCATCACTGAAGGAAATGGGAAACTATCATTAAGCATTTTGCAGATGTTCATCTTACAGTTCATCCTGTAAGAAAGGCTGGAGTCACCCATAGGAAATGCTCTTGTTTCCACCTCTGGCCACATTTCTGGGTGTTTTATGCTCCTTCCCCCTCCTCCCCAAGCCCTTTTCCAGCAGAACCTGCTGCTGGTCACGGGGGAGTGTGGCTGTGAGCTGCTCTTGCAGCCTCTCTGATGATTCTGTTCTCCAGAGGCTGAAGGAAGGGGTAACCAGGCAGAGCTTCGAGTGCTGCTCCTCGGAATTTCTTAGAGATTTAGGTGCTGAAATGAATCCGTAGGGACCTGTGGCTCCCAGCACAGTTCAGGACCAACCCCAAGCAGATGTGGAGCTGTGACAAGCTAGAGGAGCTCAGCTTTCAGATGTATCACATTCCTTGGAGGATCTCAATTTTTAGTTCTTCTCTACATTATCTTTTCAAATTTATTAGCAAATAATTTAAATATTAATGTGTTCCGGATAAAAATCATTTGAAATAGTAACCTTTTTCTCATTTATTTCTGATTTTCAGTGTTCTGGACCTTCGATGGAACCGACCATTCAAAATTCCGACGTTGTGTTTTCGGAGAACCTGAGCCGCCACTTTTACTGCATCCGAAAGTACGCTCCTGGATTCTCCATCCCCTTTGCCAGAGCCTGCCAGTAACCACCTTCCATCTGCCCTTTACTTTTCCTATATTTTTGTGCTTCTAAATGGTAATAACTTTGCCTTGTGTTTGATGGAGGTTAAAGTTCTCAGCACATACAGCCCATCAAACAGCTTGTCAGAATTAATTTAGGATAATTTAGTCTATGTCACTTTTACAGCTCTGTCCGAAAAATGGAGGAAATTCTTTCCCTCCCCCCAGTGATTCTATTGTGGGACTGTAACTTCTCCTCCAAGCATTTTTGTCTCATTTGAGAAGCAGTCTGTAGGTATTACTGTCCTTAGGTTGTAGTCTTAAATGTTTCATAAACGATCTAAATTAACAAAAAGTTGCTTTTAGACCTCTGTGTAAAATTACACCCTGAGTAAAACTGAAAAAACCAAAACTGCAGACAAGAATTTTAGGCAGAAGGGAACATATTTGCCTGGATATGTTTGGAGCATACACACTGATGCTCTTGTGCTCAGCCAAACAGTTTGTACTTAAGAGTTGTTCCGTTTGTTTCTGGTTTTTTTTTTTCATCTCAGAGGAGATATTGTGATTGTGAAAAGCCCAAATGACCCCAAATCAAATATCTGTAAAAGAGTAATTGGCTTGGAAGGGGATAAAGTCTGCACAAGCAACCCTTCAGATTTCCTCAAGAGTCACAGCTACGTAAGTATTAGAGTTTCTTGCTTTGTAAATTAATGATTACTTAAGTAGGCCTGGTAGTCTGCAAAGGATTTGCAATATCTGAGTATCGCCATGAATCATAAATGATGACATTCATAAATTATTATTTCTTCTTGTATATGTACAGCAAAATGTTGTCATTTTAAACTCTGTGTCTGGCAAGCTGTCTCTCTCTCAGTGCCTTTTGTCTCTGTAGGAAGTGTGGGTAGATAATCTTTTTTGCTCTGCCCTTTGCTTAGGTCTTCTTCCCTGGAAGAATACTCTGAAATTCTCCGCATTAAGTGCAGTGCAGGTGGCAGACTGAAGGGCTTGTTCTTCAGGCAAAACTGTTCATGTATTTTAAGTGCTAAGAAGTGAATATTTGTCTCTGCAATAGCTGTGGGATTTTTTTTTCAAATCACACTTTGGTGTATGTCTCTGTGTTTCAATGTAATAATATTTTAGTTTTCCCCAGTATGGTTGGAAAAGCAGTAATTTTCCTAACTTGTCCAAAAAGCCAGGTAACAAGATGAAATGAAAAGGGGGAAATAACCTTAAAGCTCACTTGTCCTTCTGCAGATACACTTCACAGAAACTCGGAAAGATCTGGGACAAATGTTTTCAGCAACTTCTTTTTAGGCTGTCGTTAGAAAAATCATCAGGAATCGTGATCACAGAAAAATGGGAACCCTTTAAAAAGGGCTTTTCTTGTCCCAAAAGTGTGTTTGACCATTACCTCTGTTCAGCACCTTGTGGAACCAGCAGATGAACATTTAGTTTTTCCATAAATCAAATTGTTAACTGTTTAACCAAGGAAAAATCTACAAAAAACCCCAAAGACCCACCTGTCTTACCAAGCTGAAGAAATTCTCTGGCTCTGATGGAGCTGGTCATTGCAATGAAATATGAATTTCCCAGAGCAGACCAACCTGAAATGGAAACCTGAATTGAATTCTCTGTACACTGACAGGAGACACAAACCGAGTTTCTCTGAGCATCTTGTTCCTCACTTGTCTTTGTCCTGAGAAGGAAGTTCAGGAAAGATTTGGTACTAAACAGGATGTCGGCTTTTCTGGAAGCCCTGGAGTGACCAGATGAATATCCAGCAGAATAATTTCTGCCCTGGGTGCGAGATTCCTTGTCTCCAGTTTTAAGCCATAATGTAGGGAGGAGGAGTGGATGGGGAATGCAGAGTCCATTTCCTGCTTTCAGACAGGTTAATGTATGGAAATACAGCAGAGCTTTTGTCATTCTTCCATCATAAACTGTATCCAGGGGGGGAGGAAGGATCTAAATGGAAATACTTTCGTTGTTGCTGCCTATCTGTTTTCCTCCTGTGTTTAGTGGTTGAAAAGGTAGATCTTCCCATCTGTTCAGGAGACACTTCCTTTACAGAAGAGCATATTCTCAACGTAGATATCTGCACTTTATGTTCATAGCTTAGGCTGAATTATTCACTAATTGTTCCTGTTGGGGAGGGGGAAAAGATGTGTGTCTGTGTTTAGGCAATTACCTGATCACATTCCTTATTTTAGTGAATCACTGTGCTGGGCACTTTGAATTCAAACACAAAAATTCCTCAAAGCAAATAACAGCAGCAGATGCACAGAGAACTGGCTGATGGTTTTGTTGGTGCTTGCCTGAGTCAGGTTTTTGAAAAAAAGGATTGCCCAGACTGAGGAAAGGCCTCAGCTAGGATTCCAAATGGCCAGGAGTGCTGCCTGGGGGGAGGAAAGGTGCCACTGCAGCAAAGCCTAGGAAGTGTCATGAGTTTTGTTGTTCTTATTTGGCTGCTAACTGCTTTTTTTTTTTTTTTTTTTCCCCAAATGAGAAATCTCCAAGTGGGGTGTGAATGCTGTGACTCCAAAGTGTGTGAGGTCAGAGGATTCCTTGTTTTTATTACTGTGAACTGCTCAGCTTTCCTTGACTGCTTGTCTCCCTGAAAGGATAGTCCTTATAGTCATGTTAGCTTCATATGCTAGAGGTTGCACTTTGGCTGTGGAATAATAATGGGGGAAATCTTTCTCTTTGCATGAAAAGTATAATGAAATTCCTTTTCTGAGTAAGCTGCTATAGTATTACAAGGTTAGGAAAACGTAGTTGTCCTTTTTGTTGATATCTGGTATGCAATGTGAGCATTAGGCTGGCAGCTTTGCTGGGTTCTTCAGGTTTTTATAAACATTTATCAATACAGGCAAGTGTGTTTGCTGTAATAAACATTTAAGAATGCCTGATTTATTTTTACTGTATCAGAGGCAATGTGATAGAACCCAGAAGTTAAAAAGGTACACGACTCATTTTTAGGAATGAGGTATTCAGACCTAGTTTCAATTATTAAAAAATATCTTTACTGATTTATTTATTTAACAGTAAGAACTAAATAATGAGGATTAATAAGGAAACTAATACAGGAAACCCCTGAAATGGTATTTAAAAAAAAACCCCAAACCCAACAGCTGAAAGGTTATTTTTCATATTTAGCCTTTTATCTCCTGTTTTGAAAAGTCTTAATACAGATCCAGGTTTATAATTCAGATCGAGTATCCCATTGTTATATTTGAATTTGTTTTAATGCCATTTACTTTAGCTTTAATTTCTTTAGTGCCATATGTTCTTGCGCTGCAGCTCCTATTTACAAGCTGCAGAAAGTGAGGGGGAAGCCATCAGATTAAAACAGCTTGTATGTCATAAACCACCAATATGCCCAGCCTTCGTGTCACTTAAACAAAAGTAGTCCCTAATAATGTCACTTAATAGAGCCGGGGTCTGTAAACAAGGAACTGCCTCTTGCGAGTCCCGGTGATAAAAAGCCGCGATACAAATCCATATCTCAGCAACCCCGTGCCGGTGATCAATCACAGCTCAGCACTAATGCTGGCAGCAGGGCTGAGGGGGGGGGTGTGTGTTTACCTTGTGCTAAAAGGAGGCTCGTTGCGGAGATGGCATCCCCGCATCCTGTGCCGTGCTCCGGAGCTAACACCGCTCCCAGGATAATAATGCATCTCCCCGTGTTTGCACATCACGCCAGTTAACTCTTCCACGGTCCCTGTCACGTGCTGGAAGAATGTTGTGTGGGCACTGAGGGTAACACCGTGCAAACACCGCACCATCATCACTGCTGGAGGGTTTTACAGGTTTGGGTTCACCGAGAAGGGGGTTCGTATTTTAGGGCACTCACTGCCATTGGATAGTCCCTTTAAAATATCCTGAACAGCTGTTAAAAATAAACTTGCCAAAACTCTAGTTCTTTTTGCTTTGTTCTGAGTATCTAAATAGCTAATTTACACTCATGGTTTAGATTTAATTGTTGCTGATCAGGAGAAGGAGTAAGAAATTTCCCTTTTCCTTCTCCCGAGTTCTAGTGTTCCAGAGGCCTGAGAGAAAGTTATGCCATAATTTTAACCAGTGGCTGTGCTAAATGTCTGGTGGGAGAGGAGGACTGATTTGCAATATTTGTTTGGTTTGCAGATCTGTCCAGTTTGCAGATCACTCCATATCCCAGCAGAGAGTTCACGACTTAAGCTAATCTTGAAATGTCCGAGAAGTAACTAAAGATCAAAACTCTGATTTGTCAAAACTAAATTATTGAAGGGAAAAGAAACACAAAGAATTTTATCAACCTACTTCCCAATATTTCCAGGGCTTCTTCTGCTCTTCTTCTGTGGATTGGTCTTTGTGCCTTTGCAGTTTTGGTTTTGGTATTTCAAGAGCACCCCCATGGCAGGGCTTGGGTTCAGTGCGTGGTCAGGGAGGAGGGCAGTGCCTGCACCGTGGCTTGGGCACGGGGCAGCGGAGAGAGGCTCCTCACCGAGGTCTCCCCCATCCTTCTCCAGCAGCTCTTTCTCCCCCACAGTCTGAGCCAAGAGGAGGCAGCTGCACTATCAGCTGGTCTTGAGTGCAGGCCAAGTGCAGCTCTGACACTGCCCCGCTGCTCCTGTGCAGCCACTTCATGCCTGAACGAGAACCTTGGAGAAATCCCCTCCCTGATCGTGAGGGACGATCGTTCCGAGCGACTCGTTTTTATGAATTTCTATTGCTAGATGGTTTTGCTCTGTGGAAATGCAGAGTACAGCTTTGTCTGTGCTGGTCAGATCAGTTTGAACCTTTGGGATTTCATGATCCTGTTAATCCTCCGCTCAGAGTTCAGGAATAACTTTTCGGGAGCTGCTCAGGATGATGAAACCAACCCGGGAGTTGGGGTTTGAACCCACAGGGTTGGTTTTTTTTGTTGTTGTTCTCAAACCTGTGTTTTGGGTGACCCTGTTACATCATCTGGTTTCAGGAGAAGAAGAGAATCAAATCCTTCCTAATTATTGCTGTGAGAAAGGTCTGTGCAAACTGCTAAGTAATCTTTGCTGGATTTGTAATCAATAATTTCTTCCAAAATACTGCTCTTCTGTAAATCGAGAAAGCTAATTAATAGTCTGGAGTGATGAATCACTGACATATTCTGATTTTTTTTTTCAGGAGTTCCTAAATGTGGCTAGATTTGGGGTTGAAAATTTTGACCCATGAACATGAACAAGTCAGTTTGAATTTTAACCGATAACAGTTTTAGAAAAGGAAAGATGATTAATAATTTCCATTTAGAGTTGCAGCTGGAGATTTTAAAAATCAGATCTGTAACTTTTCAGGCTGATTCAGGCCTGTGTGTTTAACAGTATGATCTAGATCATATGAGAATACTTATGGAAGTAAAGTAAACAAAGCGTGCAAGTGTCTGAATTATTAAATTCCAGTATTTCAGCCTTTAAGTGATACACAGAAGATGTGGATTTGAGAGGTGTTTTAAGTTCCAGTGTGGGTGCTACAATTCCGTAGCTTTTTCAGCACAACAAAGTAAATGTAAATGCTTGGGCTGGTTTTGAAAATGCTGAGCTAATTAATGTTGTTGGTTTTTGTACAGATGGCAACCTTAATATGAACAACATTTATGATAAGCCTACAAGAAACGGTGCCTAGAGCAACTGGATCATTAAAAAAAGGATTTGTTAAGCATTATTCAGTCTTGGTCCTGAATTAATAAATAAAGGATTAAGGAGTAGTTATGTGAGACTTTAAGTATAGAGCGATAAAACAAACTCCCGCATTTCTATGGTGTATATTTTATCCTAACTAGATGCAATTTACTTAAATAAGGCAATTTAATCAGTAGTTAGTAAATTTGTCATCCGATATTGTAGAATCTTTCATCATATTTCACTTTAATCAAGAAAGGTAACACCTGTGGTTTATTCACAAAAGCTCCTTTTGTTCGGTGAACACCCGCAGGACATGAAGCAATTACATTTGTTGCTTGTACCAAAGTAGGAGGCACTTAAATAGACCTTAGGAGGGATAGATGAGAACTCGCAGACTTTATTCTTTTGTCCAGCGCCGAGATTAGTTCTTATCGTAGCTCAAGAAGGAAGCCTCTGAACTGAAAAGAAAAGATGGCAGTGATTTAAAAGTTCCCCTTAAGTTGGAAACTTTGATATTGCTGGATTGGTGATGTGAATACCTGTGACCTCAGGGAAGTTCAGGCTTCGTCTGCTCCCAGCTGACTGTACGTGCTGATGGGCTTTGAGGTCGCGAGGGATTCGTGTTTATCCGGCCCCTAAAATCACAAACAAAAACTGCACCAACACAAAAAACCCCAAACCACAGAAGCCTGGTTGCGTTTACTTGGGTTTGGGGGTGTTTTTGAGGCAGATGATTCAATCTGTTAATTTTGTTTGCAGTTTCCTGGTATGCCAGTTAATGCAGCGCAGGGCTCTCATCTTTTGAGGGCGGTGAGAGTAATCAAAGAAAAAAAGTTTGGTGTCATGTCAAGCTACCAGAAGATTATTTGCTGATCCCCCTTCCCCATGTCATTAATGTTTTATGCCAGTAGGTGTGCATCAAATACCTGCCCTGTACTTCAGTCTTGCCACTTTAACTGCTCCACTGAGTAAATGGCAACAGCTCTGCAAATTTAGCCGGAATGTCGCAGTGGAAGATGTTTATTTATCTGAGGTGAAAGAGAAGCTTCAAGCTCAGTTGTTCTCAGGGATACTCTTGCTCTCCTGAGCTGGAGCCTGGGAAGGGAGAGGGGAGAGTCTGATGGTGTCCTTTATTCCCACACGTATAAGCTGCCCCGCAGACAACCGGTTCTGCCTGAGAACTGCTGCTCCTTGGAAATAAATCCTCGGATAATCTGCACAAAACCAGAGGCACGGGGGTTGCTGAGGCAAGAAGGGAGGAGTCTGCAGACAATCAGAGGAGGCTTTTTGGCACGAACCTGCCCTGCTGAGGAGTTGCTGGTTCCTCATGTGACCCACTGCTCTTGTGAGGATTCAGCTGTGTGGGGGGAGAACACAAACACTGCCCAGCCCAAGTTTATGCTTTTGCCATTTCCTATTTGCCACCGTGATTTTGTATCCACTCTGTGTGCAGTAGTGGCAACTGTGATTTCAGTTGCGCTCCTTGGATACATTTAAATTGCTCTAAGAGGTCTATTTTACATTTTCAAGTAATTCTTGTGATTTTTATTGCTTGTCTTAATTATAGGTTGCAGTGAAGGGCCTAGATGGTGGCCAGACACCACACAAAGGTATTAGATGGATCATTGTGACAGGAATTACAAATTCGGAGGTACAGGGGCCTGTCATACCTTCCATGGAGAAAAAGGTACCTTTAGTGGTGAATTTCAGGATGTAGGAAGACACTTCACTGCAGATGTTCCACCTGAAATGCAAACTGTGAACAAAAAAACCCTCTTCCTACCGTAGCAATTCCTGCTCCTCCTGGGGGTGTATTTGCTGGGATAGCCTTTCCCAGTGACTCTAGCTGGATGGATGGCTTGTAATTCCAGTAGATGCTGGACCAGAAGGGTCAGGACACTGCTCTGTACTGTGATATGTGCACCTGAAAAACAAACTCATGTAAGGTGTGGACACAGGGTGGGGACACTGCAAAGAAGATGAATATCCAACTGACCTGCTGGACATCCTAAATAGGCTGGGTGTGTGCCATGGAATTTTGGAGGAAAATAGGAGTCAGTCCATCCTCAAACAGAGACCTTTCAAAACTATATGTCCACGTGTGAGGAGGTGTATGTTCCACACAGATCCTTTGACTCTGGGTAGAGTCTTTGTAAATTTCATTTATTTGAAATTGACTTCTGGTTGGTTTATTTGTTTGCAAATCAGCTTGGGGTGGCAGGAGGGCCAAAGCCAGGAAGCCGAAACCAGCTGGTCTTCCCAGAGGAAGGCCCTCCATGCGCGTGCCAGCAATCTGGTAAGCCTACAAAATAACAAAGGTGACAGGACGAGCTGAGTCTGGAATTCCTGGATGGAAGGAGCTTGACTGAACCAGTGGATCAGTTTAAAACAAAGGAGGTGGCCTTCCTTTATCCAGGACACTCTGGAAGGAGACCAGTAGGTTTCAAAAGGATTTAGACATAAAGCTCCTCTGTGGATTCTGCAATGAGGAGGGAAGGGTTTGTGCCCTCTGACGTTTTGTTTAGTCTCTTCTCCAGGAATTCTCTCAGTGTAGACTATTGTATGTATGAGCCTGTGTGGCTTCATTGTAAAACATTCATGTTTATACTGCTCAAACTCTGAGTTCCATTGGAGATAATTTGTTTGTTTATTTATTTAGCTAGTTTCTGTATTTTTTTCTCTCTGAATTGTGGTATTAATAATGTTTCAAGTACATATTTGGTTTTGGAAAAATGTCTGTTAGTTTAAAGTCCGCATTAAATATTATCTAGATTATGTTGCTTCTTTTAAATTTTCAGCCTGGTTTAGAATTTTAGAAACAAAACCCAATTAGGATTATTAAGGATTTTATTTGGTAACTTATTTATAAGAGGTTATTTGTATCTGAAATGTTTTCAAGGAAACATGACGTGTTTTCCCTTCCAAGCAGAAATCTTAGTTTAAGACTTACAGGAGCAACTTTTTCATACATGAAAGCTTTATACTCTCATTTAGGTGACTAATACAGCTCTGTTGCTATTTCTCATTTTGTCATTGAGTCAGCCAGTGAATGCCATGAATCCATGGTATGTAATATAGTTAATGCATAATATATATGGGCAATGAAAGGTCTTTGTCATATAGTATAAGGTCACCATCATTAATTTTCAAATTATAAAAAGGGATTTGCTGTTTTGTGATCATCATTATTGCAATATAATGTGTTGTGGATTCTGCCTGCACATAGAATGAACTGTGATCTTAATTAGAACTTTGACAAGCCTACTCCGATAAAATGATGAGATTATTCGTAATTGATGTCACAATCAATTACCAGTTAGTTCATCATGAATCTACTAACAGGTCTAGCCTTGGTGCTGGCCCCAGGATGTTGATGAGTGTGTGGCTGCCCTGTTCATGCTGTTACTGCGACAGGAGGGCAGATTTTCAGTCAACATCCTAATGACCTCTTTTGAAGTCTATTAAATTAATGACCCTGTCACATTGGTCTAACCTCTTACATCTTCATTTTGGATTTTTTGTTGCAAACCATTGGTTTTCGAGCACATGATAGAACAGATACTTTGGAGCACTCCCTCTCATCCCTCCAAACCTGGCAGTGTGTCTTACTGGATTCCCTAAAAAATCAGTTCATTTACACAGTGATGAAACGCAGAGCTCAGAAATCAGCAAATGTGGTGGTGTAAGGCAAACTGAGCTGCTCACCATTCTGTTCTGTTCCCTTTTTGACATTTCAATCTTGCTTAACCACAGGTGCCTAAAGGACATGTTTGGTTAGAAGGTGACAACCTCAGGAATTCCACAGATTCCAGGTGCTACGGACCTGTTCCTTACGGGCTGATAAGAGGACGCATTTGTCTGAAGGTATCTCTATTTACAGTATCTAAAAGTAGTGCATCAGTGCATTTTTAATGGCTGGGTGTTAGGTATGGAAAATTGCCTCCTTAACTGCCTGGCCAAAGCAGATGGAAAGGAAAGCCACTTGCTGTGAAAGGATAACTCATCCATGGTGTCTTTTGGAGGGAGGACCTGTGAGCAGCACCGAGCACTGAGCACTCACTGCCCTGAAAGCTGAATGAGTTATTTCACAGGCAAATCCAGACCTGGTAAAAAACATCCACCCTACTGCACAGACGTACCTTCCATCCTTAGACTGATCCTTGCCTCTGCAAAGTGGTGCTGTATAAACCACCATGGTTCCTTCTCCTGTTCCAATAACTCTGCAGTTTTATGCCACGCTAAATTACTTTTTATATTATCTGTGTTATTAATTTACTCTTCTACCAAAAAGGAGAAACCAGCACAACCTCCTCTCAATAAAAAGTTTAATCTAAGAAAGAAGGGTGTGTGTATTACAGACTTTGGCACCTGCTTTTAGAAAGCTGGATTTAAAATTGTTCAATCAGACCAATAAAAAAAGGTTTCCTCTATTATTTCAACACATCCACAAAAACCATAATTTAACAAGTGCACAGGGAAGATCAGATCTTTCCAATTTAACAGGCTTATATTCTTAATTTACAGTATTTATGAACACAGTTTGGGACTTGCTAACTTAACAAAACCCCCAACCTTGCAGCTATTGAGCACAATCAGTAATGGCTTTAATAAACCTCAGCCATGTCCCCCTCAGCCCTGCTGCCAAGTTTTGTCTGACCTCTGTTCTTCCTGGCCAGCGTTTGCTCCAGCTCTTCCCTGGTGTTTACTGAGGGCTCTCTGTCCCTTCCCTGCCCTGTTTGTACACCAGAGGGAAAAATGCTGATTCCAGACAGGGCTGTTTTCATGACCCCAAGTTTTAGCTGGGATTATTAACTGCTAAGATACAAATGGTGGTAATTACTAATCTGACTGAGAAAAGAGTTCTCCAAACTGCCCTTTGCTGCTGGAAGGGGACTGTTGGCAAAGAGTGTACATACCAGGAACCTGTGGACGGGGACAGCCATAATCAGTCTCAGGATCTCTCCACAAGCAGTAGATTTGTGTCCAGCTTGTGCCCCAACAAGGAAGGTGTTTGAGAGACTTTATTGAACTCTGTGAAATGAGTGGAACTTACACACAGATAATGTGTGCAATAATACTGAAGTGCTGCTTTAGGACTCCAGAACACTGACTGTTAAAAGAGATAGTCAGCAATCGTTTGATACTTAATCAGCATAATTATTTAACCAGCTTTTACTGCTGTTGTTCTACGATGGTGCATAGAGTAGTGATTATTCTTGTTTTCATGAGATTTAAGTATATGGTGCTTAACAAAAACAAAAGTGAGTTTAGTCTTCAAGTGAGTGTTTCTAGTTTGGGTGGTTTATGGTGATTCACATCAGAGTGCAGTGGTCTTGGTACTGTGTTGCTGTGAAAGGCAGCAGGAATCAGTCTGCACGATGGGGGATAAACTTGAGACCACTGGCCAAAAAAACCTGTGTGTGCTTTCAGTGCAGAGTCTGGAGCTTTGGCTTCTCCTTCGTGAAACACTTTTTTACTGCCTTCAGAATGGAAGCTTTTGTGGCTTTATCATCCAGTGGATTTTGGAGGAGCAGATGCCTTTCAGTGCTAAGTTACATTTCTAGGAACGGGTGCAAACAAACCCAAGGCTAATTTGGAAGTAATTTCACGGATTCCAGCAGAAGAGAGTGAGCTGAGCCAACCTGAGTTTGTCTGGGCAGCCTGTCCTTGGCAGAACATAAATGTTTGCCTGTGAAGTTTAGACAGAAGATTCTCAGCCACTGTTGGTGCACCAGATTTACCCCCCAGGGAAATCACAGTATGTGATCATCTTTGCTCCTTTCCCTCCGTGCCACCGTGTCCGCTGCCCCTCCAAGAGCCAAGTCCATTCCCTGAGGGGCTGCTGAAATCAAAGCAGCTGCAAATTCAGTAAAAGCACTGGCAGTCCCACTCTGACAGAGCTCAAGTTCGTCCTGTCCTAGGTAGGATATCCTGTGCGTTCCCTGGATTTAGGCTCCATGTCAAAACCAGACCTGCAGTGTATCTATCTTCAAAAGAGCTAGTTAGCCCCATTTATGCCCCATCCATCAGATCAGATCTATCTATGTAGGCCAAACCAAAGAGGCCAAGTAGCTGCTAATTGGAATAGCCAGTCTGAATGAACAAGTCACAGTCAACTTCTGTCATAACTTTAAAGGACTTGGGAATTACGACACAGTGGCAGGTCTTTGTTTCACAGAGGAAGGGTTTCCATCTCGTTTCCAGCCATGAGTATTTTTTCTCAGGTTCTCCCTGCAGGCAGAGTACATAAAACACCATTTTCCTTCTAACTCTACCACTGAGATTACTGTGATGAATTTGAAGCTAAATTGTCAAAGCAGCATTTAAAGCAAAGTTGATTCCTTTCACTGCAAGAAAGTCAAATTGCAATAGGTGCAATTTGAGTTGCCTGAAAGGAGATTTGTGCTGCAGTGAATGGCCTAACAAACTTCCTTCTCCAGGCCTTTACTCGGATCAGCTTAGATTTGTAATAGGGGATATTTCTATTTCCTTTTACTTCTGTTTGCCTTCGAGGCCAAACAAAGACTCGACACCCAGCCTGCAGCCAGCACAGGCCCTCTGGACAGCCTTGAGTTCCACGGCTTTGCTTCTAACCAAGATCACAAATATCCTTCTGTTGCTGGTTTGTATCTATTTGTGTGGACCTTAAAATAGCTCCCTGGCTGATCTGCACAGACAGGAGGTGTTACCTCTCTGGTTTTGTGTAGCAGCAGATGTTCCTCGTGCTCTTCCCTCCCTGCACGTGCCAAGCCCACAGGTATTCTCTGAGGTCCTTGCCACAAGGGAGCTTTGAGCCTTTTCCTGATCCACAGGTCCTGAGAGTGACTCACATCCTTCTGCCTCCCCCAGGGCCCAGCCCAGCTGAGCACAGGGAGCTTCCAGCAGTGCCCAGTCCCAGGCTGCAGGAACGATGCTGTATCCTGCCATTCCCGTCCTTAACTCTCTCTCTCTCTGCCCCTTCTGTCATGGTCTTCAGTGCTGGGGATGAATCACAGGGTTAGAAATAATTGAACCCTGGCACTGGGCTTCCTCTTTGAAATGAGAAAATTCCTTCCTCACTCCACACAGAAAGCAGGAAAGGGTCCTGTGCTGGGGCTGTTCCATGAACTCAGTCACAGAGTAGGTGGCTGTTCCTGGACAGAGACTGTGTTCCTTCCTGGAGATCAAATCCTGAGGAAAAGTGAGCAAGAGAAACATTTCTCTGACAGGTGCTGTGGGAACAAGGAGCATCATCCTTCTCTGTCTAGGCTGCTTCACCTTGGGCAGGGGCTGTGAAGTTTTTATGGGATTGGAGCCACAGAGGGCATTCATTCTTCAGCAGCATCTTTCCCTTCTTCCTGCTGATCCCCTCGTGCCACCTTTGAAAGGGGGTGTGAAGAGACACAGGCAAGGGAGGCAAAGGACAAAGTGTAAAAGAACGTCCTTGGTTTCCTTTTCTTTTTTTTGCATCCAAGACCATCCTACCTGTAATTAGTGAACATCCAGAGCCAAGTACTCCTGGGAGCCCTCAGTATTATGAACAGCTCTGCAGTTATTTTGGGGAGAAGCTGCTTTGTCGTTGGTCAGCATCATTCTCTGACACTTGTGCTTGGTCATGAGTTGTGTTCTTTTGTAAATAACTGTCCCCTTCTCAGAGGAGCCCCTTGGTCAAGAGCCCTGCTGGTGGCAGGGACTCCACCCCTTTATACCTCTTTGCATTGCCTGTAGATTTTTTTTTTTTCCCTCCCAGGGTTTGGTGTTTGCAGTTCAAAGGCTCATCTTGAAAATACAAATGTCCACCTCAGCAGTGGCAGGTCCTTGTGCAGGGTGTTCTTTTCTCGCCCTGATGGGTCAAAAAATATGTCCTTTATTGTTTAAGTCATGAAGAAGTTTACAAGCCAAAAAAACGTGGAATTTGAAAGATATTTTTTAGGAACATATTTATTTTCAAGTTTCACTGCTGAAAACAGCAGTGAAATTGGTGAGGCTTTCCACAGCAAAGCATGCCCTGTATAAATTAGTGTGTATATATTATAAATCATTATGGAATGATTCCTTGCGATACACAGGATTTATTACTCCCTCTAAGAGAAGCACACAGGTGAGGAAAGTTCCTTACCCTGTCAGCCAAAGAGGTAAAAAAATACGCTGTTAATGAAACAATAACAACAATAACAAATGAAAACTCAGAACTTTTGAGTTGTAATTAAAATCTCCTGTATTTTATTTTACAGCTTTGGCCTCTGAATGACTTTGGATTTCTCCGTGCAAGCCCCAACGGCCACCGATTCCTCGACGATTGAAAGATTTAAGTTACTCTTGCCGGTTTTCGCAATATTTTCTACTAAAATTAATGGAACTATTTTTGTTTAGAATAAACACAAATATTACTTGACAAAAAAATGTCTCTTTCTGAGATTACATCTGACCTGAAAGTGGGAATGATACACCGCTGTCATCAGCAACAATGACGGGCTTCTTTCTCTGCTTCCCCTGGTGAGCCACAGTGAGTGCTTGGGTTTATTGGACAGTTTTGGGTTTTTACCACGAGCCAAGGTTAGCACTGACTGTTACCAAGCCTGTTCATGTGTGAGCCTCTGCCCCTCCTTCCTGGGCTCGAGTCCTTTGGGGGGGATTTAGAGAAGTTAAATATTTACCTTATAAATAGAAAATGTTCCTGTTTCCCATTACTGCACTTCGCTCTTCATTGTCTTCCAGGCATTCTCACATTTATGCCTCCTGATTGACTTTTGTCATCTGAGCTGTGGAAAGGATTTATCCTCAGTGGAAGGGCCCGAGGGACAGCTGATAGAGGCTGAAAGGGGAAGATCTGCTCTGTTGTTTGCTGGAAAAGAAACGCTGTTTAGATCACGAGATACATTCCAGTGGTCCAGAACTCGGCTGTTCTGGTTTGGGGGTGTTTAGTAAGGAGCTCTTTGGCTGCACAACCAACACCAATGCTCCCATCTGCAGATCTGTGTCAGATCTGTCATTTTTGAGCCTGAACATCCTTGTTCTTGTAGTGCCCCACCTTTTCTTAATGTGGGTTTCTTCAGCAGATGCTGCCACTCATTTGTCCAGTCTTTTGCAAAGTTTGTAACAGTTAATGAGCTGCTTTTAAACAGTCACTGAAGGATCTCGATAACGAGCGAACAGGTGTCACAGCAAACCAGAGACACGTCTTTGGTTTCACTCTTGAAGACACTGTAACTCCCCCCACACCGACAGGACAGAGTGTAGAGCTGTTCATCTGCCAAAAGAAACAAAAGAGCCTTCAGTGCTCGGGAAGAATCAAGGATTTATTTTGGATTTTCGTCACAAAGCCGCTCTTAGTTACAAATAACCTCCCACTGCTGGGTTGTAAATATGGCACAGTACCTGTGCTACCATCTGTAGCTCGAAAAATGACTGTACACCAAACAACCAGGGTCAGTGGAGTCTCTTTAAAAAAAACCCTCAGTGATAACAAGGTGCACATCAGAGAGACAGACAGATGTTAAAAATAAAAACTAAGGGTTGTCATACATATGACAGGTCAAGGGTGCTTCCAAAACAGACAAAAAATCAGCCCTTCATTCAAGAAAATGAGAAAAAACAGAGTAATAAGAAGGATGGAAATAACAGGGATAAAAAAGAACCTGTATGGAACCATCTGCATTCTCCCATCACAGAAAGAGCAAGAAGATGCTCAAGAGGCCTGGGAAGAATCCAATGACTCAATTATGCTACAAAAGGAGATGTAGGTGAAAAGTGGTCCTGCAGGTGAGGGTGGGGGCAGGAGATGGAGCAGGAATGTAAAACAAGTGTCACAGGAAGTTTAAGTTCCAATTCAGGTCATCTCAGAGAGCAAGACAGCTTCATCTGAGGAAATAACAGAAAAAGCAGAATTTACAGTAAGACAACAATGGTGTAAAATACAGAAAAAACAGAGCACATTTGCAGTGACAGTGAAAGGGGAGCAGAGTAAGGCACATTCATACCTTCATTCCAGGACATGTCCTCGAGGTAAACTTGTTCATGAAGAGGCCATTCTTTTGTCAGGTTATCTGCTGTAAAGCAAACGTGACAGTGGTCAACATACAGGCCCTTATTTCTTTCTCATAAATTAGTATTTTTATATCCCTGGGACTCAATCTGGTCACTACTAGAGAGTCACACCCAGACACAGTATCAGTTAAAAGTGCAGTTCTCTAAACCTGTCAACGGAGTTACAAGTGGAGCCATAAAAGGTAATATTTAAAAAGCGAAAGACATCACCAAAAACCAACTGACTGTTCTGTTTTCAACTGAAATGTACATTAGACATCCCTGAGAATGAGCCTCATCTAAATTAGTGTTGATAAAGGTGATTAAAACAAGTGAGACACGTTGGGAATGATGGCAGAATCAGCACAGCCTCTTTGATTTACCTCTGCTGAACACCTGTAAGGAAAAGGTTACAGTGAAAAGAACGAAAATTAACCCGCTCAGACCCAATACTTTACTGCTGTCAAAAGAAAGGGGAAAGAGCTGCCTACCTTTGGCTAGGGCAGGAAACCTCCCAGGGTTTCCTATTTGGAATTCATGAAGGATTTCACTCCGAACAACTGTTATGGGGAGTGTTTGGACAATGCTCTCAGGCACAGGGTGTGACTCCTGGGAGTGTCCTGTGCAGGGCCAGGAGTTGGACTCGATGATATTCTGATGGGTCCCTTCCAACTCAGCATATTCTGTGATTCTGTGAAGTCTGCAAATCTTACTGGTTATCTCAAAAGATGTAAGTTTTCAATTTGTACCCTTGGCTTCGCACACAATCCTGGAAACGCTCTTGCCAGGAAGTTTTGCACACTGCATTTATTTGCCTGTCTGGTTCAAGCAGAGAAACGTATTTTCCAGAGTTGGACGAAGCTGTTTTTATTTTCTAATTGTAGTAAATACATTACCCAGTCTGACACACCTTAAGACAACAAAACCAGATGTGGCCACTTATTTAAAAGCAGAGGCACAGCCAGGTAGGAGTCTGGGGAGCTCACAAGCAGAACACCCAACCTAATGGCTCTCACAGTGACTCCTGTTTCTTGTGCCCTTCCTCATTTCACCTACACCACTGTTACTGCAAGCACAACTCCCTCCTCAGGGTTCTCTGAAGTGAACTGGTGTCCCCTTTTCACTCCTTTGCCAGAGCAGGTTATTTGAGACCGGCCTTGTCCCCACTACCGAGTTATGGGCTGGCTTACAGGTGGCATCAGCTCAGGCTGCAGAACTCTGTGCACGGAGCTGTGCCCTCTGAAACACATCCCTGGACACCCAGGGGAAAAACGTGGAGAGACCTGCCCGTGCACCACGACTCCTGAACAGCCTCAATTCCCCAGCAGCGCAGCCCGCCCGGCTTTGCCACCTCTTGGATTTGTCTGACAACAAGAGGCCGAAAGGATTCTGCAGCTCCATTGTCCCAGCTGCAGGATCTCAGAAAACACTGGCAGGCTCATCAGAGAGGTTTATGAGCCTGCAATTCAAAGAGATTAAAAGGGGAAATCTACTGAGATTCTTTCAGGCCACAGAACAACATTAAATAACTATTAGCAGCTTGGTTCAGTAAAGCTTTACCAGAGCCCTTGCTGGGTCATTCAGGAATTGTAAAAGAGGAAAGGTATTTAAGTTTCACTTGAGGATACAATAAATATTTCTTGGGCTATTTGAGGCTGAGTTTTAGGGAAAGGGTTGCAAGCAGTAAATGGAAATGTAAGCCCTTTAACAGTTTATGGTAATAGTAAAAATAGTCATAATACTTGAAAGATTTTTCTAGCTCTTTATTCCTAGGAGGTGGTTTTTTTTCAAACCAAACAAATAATTAAAGAAGTTCAAGATCTGTAGTCAGTCAAATATCATTCATAGTGTTTGCTCAGCATCAAAATCACCACAGTATTCAAAACCTGTATGTTTTCAGAAGTAAATTCTTTCTAAAGGCGTTTCAGTTACTTAACAATTATTTAAGTTTGAGTCTTTTGACTTAAAATAATTACGTATTAATTAATTTGAAACAAAAACAAAGTCACATGTTAAGGATTTTCATAACAAAAATACAGAAATACCAAAAAAAAAAATACTGCTTTACATGTAGCAGATGAGATTTAACTCCAGAGAGTTAAAGGCCTGTGCTCCAGCTGAGGGTCTACAGGGTCTTTAAGGTCCCTTCCAGGCCATTCTATGATTTATGGCCATCTGTGATCGTCATCCTGTGAAAACATATTATCCTTCACAGAACCTCACTGGAGCCACACATGGGAACAAACCCCAGATTCTGAACTTTTTCCACACAAAATCATACACAGAGCAACTGGTTTTAGTGTCAATCCCGTTACTAGCTTAGAATTATTTGCTACATTTATCATCAGAAATTAATCCAAGTCGCCAATTCACTGATTTAACTTTGTGACCTTTCTGCTAATCGTTCAGTCATTAATTAATAATTAAAACATAAAAATCAATCATTAATAATTAAAACACAAAATTAACTCCTATTATTATCTTAACAACGGGATTGTTTAGATCAGCTCCTCTGTACAGAAGCCAACAAAAATCCCCAAAAGTTTAGGGGCTGCTCCTCAAAGGGACCTGGACAGGATGCAGGGGAGGAGCTGTGTCCCAAAAGCTTCCAGGGTTCAGGTGACTTCTAATATGAAACTGTAAAACAGGGTTTTTCCAACTCACTGCAAACCTTTTGGTAATTATTAATGTCAACCTTGATTTTAACTGCATATTCATCTTTTTTAAATGGGACACCGAGCAAAGAATGGAAAAATCTGAGAAGAGAATCTGTTGACAAAGAAGTCCATTCTGAACAGGTAAAATTGTCATGCAGCTTTTCTTCCATCCTCCAAATTTTTCACAGGGACTGCAAGCAAAAGATTCCCCACTATAATTTTGAGATGACAAAACAGTGAATTGGAAAAGTTTTCACACCTACAGAGAGGCAGTTCTCCCAAGATTTCCAGATCAGAAACACTTGGATAAATATTTGAGCCAAACCTCTACACAGTTTGTGGTTTGTCCCTTCCCATTTAATACTCTGGCCTGAAGGCACAAAAAAATTAGGAGATTATTGGGAAACCTTCAGAGAAAAGCAGTATTAAGATATAAAAGCACATTCACTTGTTACTCTGAACAATTCAAACAAGAAGAAAATGAAAACCATAGAGCCCCGCAGAATTCCAGCTTCTTGGAACTTCTGAATTTTCTGAGCCAGGACATTAAGATTTAGTCAGTCTGGCACAAGAAGGTCCATACAAATAAACAATCTGTGAAATGGGGAAAAGACTCCTGTGCAAAGAGCTGATGGGCACACACACACAGAGCCATCCTTCAGATCCTGCTCCTGAGGCTTCCTTTGCATCTTCCCAACTTGCTGTAATCTCTCTCTCATCACTATTCCCCTTAGCTGCTGCCTCCATCCCTTTGTTTCCCCGAGCTTTTATGGCAGTGTCTACGAATTTGTCTAGAATCCTGACTTCAGAGGCAGCTTGACAGGCATTCAAGGAGCTAGAAATTTATTTCCCCGTCATTTTGCTGCCAGGGAACATGCTGGAAAGAATGCAGGGACGCTGCACGTGTGTGTTATGTGATGTGTGGCTCAGTCTGGAACACTGGGTCTCTCTTGTGTTAAAACACATCTAGCCCATCGACATCCCATTACCAAACACTGGTTTTCTTTTTTTATTAACTAAAAAAGTCTCTTGCAAAGAATCTCGAGATGGTTTTTGGAGAGCTCATCTGGATGCAAAAGGATCTCAGAAAATGCAGATAATCTTCAGGTTGCTCTAGAATAAGTTTTGTCAAAACTAATTTATGGCAATGATGCCCTTAAATTCCAAGGGAAAACAAACTAATTGATTAAAATCTTGATGTAGCTCTACTTCATGGATTAATCTGAGCCCAGCAAAATGGAACTTCATAGCCTGGATTTAAGCATTAGGTACAACTCCCTAGATACGGAAAAGACTCCTAACTCATCTCTAATTTCTTTTTTCCCAAGAAATGTACAAGTTGTGAAAACTGTACAAAGCCAATATCACAATGCTAAGAGTACAGTAGGATGAGAGCACTGGGCAGCAGAAATTCCTGTCCTGGCATCACATTCAGGCATTTAAAAGAAAATAACCGAGATGAAAAAATTATCCAAGTCTGATCTTAATACTGCTGACACAACAAATTTGCACAAGATCGCATTTTTTTCCCCATTCTTCTAAAATATTTATTCAACAGCTCTGTTGAACAAGCCCTCCCCCCCTCTTTTCCCAAACCCACCCAAAGTCTGGAGTGGGAGACGATTGAGCTGGGGAGCTGCTACTGTGGAAATACGATTCTCTGCCCCTCTCTTTCTCCCGCAGCGATGCATATCTGCCACAGTGACTACGGCTTTGTGTCCCCACGCCCTGGTCTCGGCGGCGGCGGGGGAGTTAAAAACCAGCACAAGAGAGGAAGGGTCTGATGGTGTGCCAACGTACAATGGCAGGGAATTCAATAACAAGCTGCAGAGACAGTTGGGGCTTTTATCAGACACGTTCAGAAGTGGTGGTGGCTCCACGTCAATGCCGGGCCGGAGTGTGCTGCTGCCGAGCGCGACCGAGTGTTTTCCCCACGGGCAAGACACTATTATTGACTCCCCCCATTACCATGGAGGGTGGATATACATTTATTGAAGGTTCTAATGGAAGGCTGAGGGACTCCTATCCCGAGGCCAGAGCAGAAAGACAGCCTATCACTTCATGTAATGGTAGCCCATGTGTGACAGACCTGACCTACATTTCCCCCCTTTCTTTCTCACAACAGCCTGTCACTGTTTTTAAGAAGCTATTTTCTGAGAGGTATAAAAAGAAATGCGTGCTGGAGCTGCCTAGTTAATGTGTTATATTGGAATATTATTTATAAACCTGCTTTAAAAGGACTAGTTTGGACTACAAATGAATGGAAGCTACTGCAACACACACACACAACGAGAAAGAACGAGTCCTAACGATTCTGAAGTGGTTATCAACCCCTACACAGTGAACGCTGGGCACAAATGGATTAATACATACCCAAGATACTGCAGCAAAATGCAGTGTGCAAGGCTTAAAAGTAAGAACAATTAAAGAAGCTACCTTAATAAAATAAAAAGGGCTAAGGCTCTGCAATTGGTATAAATTTCATAATAATTCAAGCTATTAGGAATAATGCCCCCTAACGTTCTGCTGGAAGCCGTTCAGTGGTTTCAGCAGCTGATGTATGTGGAGCAAGAGCTATAAATAATGGATCCACGCCTGAAAGTAGGACAGGAGCGAAAGAAAAACATTTGGTTCAGCACTAAACCAGCATTTTAAAATACCATCTCAACTACCACTCCCAGACCCTGCTTATTTAAAGAGCCGCTGCCACCGCAGCCACTCCTTGGCAGGAACCTACCACGCCGCTGCAGGTCATACTCTTTTTTTGTCTCCTCGTTCCCCAGAATTTTCCACGCCTGATCGACTTCGATGAACCGCTGCACGCGCTGCTCCGCTTCTCCTGCCGGCACATCTGCCTCCTGCTTGTCTGGGTGATACTGCCAATCAAAGGGGAAAGAGAGGGGGGGGGGGGGGGGGGGGGAAAAAAAAAAAAAAAAAAAAAAAAGATGAAAAAGTTGAGGGGAGTGGAAGTGAGGAGGGGTGGGAGAGCAGCGATCAATAATGCATTTGATACTCAGTTAAAAGGACAGAGGAAAGGAGAAGGTCTGGGCTGAGGTGCCGAAGGAAGGGGGACGGCGGCGCCGGGCACGAGAGGGAGCTGCCAATTCAATCAGCCCACTGGAATGGCCGCCGAACCACCGGTGGCACAAATGTCACCACGAGCACTGGCGGCATTTTTTCTGGATAATTTGCTGATGGAATCGCTGGTCTTATGGGCAATTTACCTGCAGAGAGTGGCTACCACAAACAGAAATGGGTACCTGCAGAGGACCACGACTCGGGAGCAAGAGGAGGTGCTGGGAGCTGTTGTAACCACGACACAGAGCTGGTTTAAACAAACCCACCAGTGTTTAGTTAAGGCTGTTACAGATCCCCTGAATGCTGGATTACATGTGCCTAGCTTTTTTTTCTTTTTTTTTTGTGATTTAAACGGTAAATAAAATATACATGATCAAATATAATTTATATTACATGTAATTTTACTTTTGAAAACGCGCTTCAACATCTTTTAATTTCTTCCGGTTCGGTGAATCAATAGCCCTTCCAAATATTTAAAGTCATGGATCACTGCTTACAGAATTGTGTCATTTTAGTTAAGAAATGGTTATTCAAGGACATGGCTGCAAGAAATCCCACGTTAAACAGGCAATAATAATTAAAGTGGTAACACATTTTCTTTACCATTTGTTCTGAGCAGAACCCTCTGACTTGTGGTTCAAATGTCTACTGAAAAGGAACCCTCAAAGCTCCATCTTCCCGTAGCTTTATTTCAATCCCAGTAATCTTTTTTTTTTTTTTTGATATTTTAAATTGCTCAGTATAAGTGATGGACCAAGAGGAAAGAGCATTAAAAATGAGATAGCTGCAATATAATCACGCCTATCAGCTGATAACTGTGCTATAAACCAAGATATCCCTTATTCTGGAGCTGCCCTTTATACCACGACCAGTTGGGGCACTGAAACTTAGAACACCTGTTCTACAAGTGTTGAAGCAGATTTCTGATTAAATGAATTTCTTTCTTTTGGTTCGTAATGAATTTTGGAAAGGAAAGAAGAGAGGACCAATATCCTGTGTGCTTGAGAAAATCCAAAATGTGAAAGGACAAATGTGAAAGGGACCTACTAATTAAAGCACATTTCTATGTCTATCTATTTGTCTCCATTTTGGTCTGGAAGCTTTCTGAATTTATTTGCTCTTTCCTCTGTTGGACTTTTTCCATTATTACCATCTAATGCCTTTAGCAGACTACATCTACACTAAGAAAAAAATCCTTAAACCTCAGCTATTTTACTCTAATCCTCCTCTTTTTTTTTTTAATCCCAGTGATCCCATTTCATCTGAATTTGTTCTGTACCTGCTCTTACTGCCTCTCTTTTCCTACTCTCCAGCTCGCTGATCGAGGATGATTGTTTCTAGCAAAAATCCAGTCTTGGTTCGACTTCCCCTGCCCTTCTTTCCTCTCCAAGACAACCAGTGAGGTGTCCTCTCTCCAGCTGTTTCAGACCCCAGCTCAGACACACAGGACTTCTTCCCAAAGTGGATGAAGTTCAGAGGGGGCAGCCAAATGTCCTCTGTTACCCCTTCAGATGTTTAATCTCTTCCCTCCCTCTTGGCCACCACGTTCTTGCTTCTGGTCCTGCTCCATCTGCCCCCACAGCAGCTGCCTCAGCAGAGCCAGGGGTTTGCTCTGGTGTTGGGAAAGGTGAGATATGATGGATATTCCCTGTCTCCTCCCCTTTTCCCATTCAGCCTGATATTTCTGGGTTAATCTCAGCCGCCACCACGCACAAGCTCAGTAATGAAAGCAGACAGGCCTGTTTTCTACTCGACCTGCCTCCTCCTACTCACTCTGAGCTCCTGCTCATCTCCCCCTCCATGCAGCCAGTTGTAAGTTTTTCACTCAAAATGTTAGAGCCCCTCCCGTGTCTCCTGCAATATCCCTATTGTTATTTAATAGGACTTTATGGAAATAACAAAGGATCTCTTCCCAAGTCCAACAGAGGGGAGGGAAAAGGAAGAAGGCTGGAGATATATGCCCAAGCTATTTTTTCCTTCATTATACCTGTACTAGAAGTAATTAGCTAACTGTCCTCCATTACTAAAGACTGTCTGGAATTTATATCACTTCACATCATACATCACTTCATATAATATGATGCTTTGCAGTTACTGGGAATGTTAAAAAATAGACTGATTGATAATGGAAATATATTAGTTTATCTGTTAACTATAAAAAATTACCTTGCACACACAATACTACTACTCCCTCCCCTGATGTTTATCTCAAACGTCACATTGTCACAGCATTCCTTGAGGACTCTGGTTCTTGGTCCAAGAGTTATTCAACACCAGATTCTTGGGGTTTTCAACTGCTTAAGCTGTTGAAATCACCAAAAAAACAAAAATCTGAAAACCTTCAAGTCCAAAATTTGAAAACCTTGAAGGTCAAAGCTCAAAGGAAAAGCACACTTTGAACAGTATCTGTTGGAGACTTGGCGAAACGGGCAATGTTTTCTTTGGGAAACAGGAGAGGCAGGCTACCACAAACTCAATTACAGTATCATTATGGGAGCTTTATCAAACAACTGCATTCAACTGTCTTGATTTTTAATGTACATCGAACTGTCCTTCTCAGCAGGCTGGATACAGTGAGAAACAAGGTATCACCTGGCAAACATACTCTAAAAAAAAAAACAGATACAGTGTCAGTTCATAGTTCTACAAGTATTGGAAAAGTTAGAAATTTTTCATGGAAAACTTTTTAGGTAAATTAATTCTATTTCATCATGCTCATCTACTGCCTTTGATACCTGCAACTGAGTAAAGAACCAGCAAGTAAACAAACCTTCTCTGTCTCAGAAAAAAGGTGTTAATGTTGTTACATTCAAATAATTAAAAGTGCAGACTCTATAAAAATGCCTTGACTTCCAGAACATCTATTTTATTTATGATATTGTTACTTGTACACTGTCCACACTTGATTCCAAAGGTATGGGAAGGTGAATACTGAACACTGTCTTTTTGTGGAGAGAGAGAGAGAGAGAGAGAGGAAAATTGAGTGTAAGCACAGAGAATGTTGGCCTACTGTACAATTTTGACTTCTGAAATTCTTTAGAGCAGCTGTTGATTTCTTCGATATTTACAGATGTGGTGACGTGAGCAGTTCAGGGAGTTTTGTGTGCACAAGTATTTGGAACACACTGTGGCACATTCAACTGCTCCGCTCTGCGTTCCTGCCTGCTTTATACTCCGTGGAGTTTGGACCCTCCTGCACTTCAGGAACTGGTAAAAAAAAAAAAATCAAGCTTTTTTTTGTAAGTAACAAAATCAGTGACAGATCAACAGGCCCTAGGAACTCTCACACCGCAGGATGAGGAACTGGCAGAGCTCTGGCTGAGCAGCTCCAGCCCCGCAGTGACGCGCGAAGGTCCCCATCCTCCTTCCCTAAACTTCGTGCCATAAATCTAACAGGGCTGAGTGATTTTAATCAAATTCAAATTAGCAAGCAGAAACCCTCTAGTTAAATCAATTTAATGTACATTTCTTACTGGTGCTCGTGAACGTATTTCTCTCGGAGGACATTTACGGCGCCCAGTGAGAATCAACTTAATACGGCTTATTGTGGGAGGGGAGGGGGAGGCACAGGGGCAGAGGGGTTACACTAAATCTGTAATCTCTTGCTAAACTGTGGCACACATGATAACCAAACCACTTCACGTAACTGCTTTTACTCATAACATGCCAAACTGAAAGGGCTGATTATTTAGAAGAGGCTGAAAAAGCACTGTCCCTTCTCGACTAGGGCGTTACCGTGGCTGTTTCGCCTTGTGTGTAAAGGATATTTCACTTTAAAGGCCAAAGATGCGCCACATCTCTGATTCCACACGTCAAACCAAGAGGTTTTATTTTCTAGGAAAACTACTATTGCTTCCAAATCTTATCTGACTTATGGAAAAAGTTAAGTAACAACGCTTTCATCTACTGCTTTCATCTACTGTATTGCACAGAGAACTGTAAAACACTTCCTGCTGAAATGACTTGCCTTTTAAGTAAACCTATTTAAAATGTAAACTTTCTACTTTTTCTGACTGAGGAAAGTGAAGGGAGATCAGCTCTATTTTTTTCCCAGGAATAAACTAAGGAGTTCTCTCCACTTTCCACAGCTTTGTCTTTCCTACTTTCCCATATTTTATGCAAAGTTGTCAAGTGTTTGCAGAAATCTTCAGCAGAAAATAAAAACTAATATAAAAAGGATGAACCAGACGTGGCTGCATTAAATCCTTGATCTTCTCTCCTGAGACAACTGTTTTGGAGAAGTACTTTCAGATTTCTAAATTTTCATTATGGGCCTTTTGGATTCTGTCCCCCCACACCCCATTATTAAGGTTCTAAAACTTGAAAGTAAAGAGGGGCACAGAACAACGAGGAAACCATCAGAGCTCAAAAATTCAAAAGTTAGACTATTCTGGACTTACTATCATGAGTCATAAATAGTAGCTAAATAGTCATCAAGTAGCCAGCATTACCAACAGTTACAGCACAGTAAATTTCTAAACTATCTGATTTAATAGAGATTTTTAACTCTGGAATCACCTTGCTAAACTGAAGTGACAAGTTGAGACAAGTCTTGAATTCCTGCTTTATTTCCATAGGGGATGTTGTGCCTACACTGGAATAAGGGAGATGTGCCCCACCTTCCCGAGCAAAGCCAGTGGGAGGATTTTATCAGATGATTACTTAGATCCATCCAAGTAGTTGTGTTTTGGATGGAAGTGCATTTAATGGCTAAACCTAAGCTTTAAATAAGAATAAATGATAAAATATTATCACTCAAATTAACTTGTATCTCCCTTTCTCCATGTAAGGCATCTCA